GGAATCTCCAGCGTCGCCTCACTGGAGTGCAGGACATGTCCCCCTCCGCTGTGCCCATTGCTCGTCGTGCTCCCAGGCGGACGTGACCGTGGACTCTCTTGCTCTAGGTTCTTGGGGATCTGGAAGGAAAATGAGCTGTGTCAAATCTGCATCTCGAGTCCTGTTGTTCAGTTTTGGACTTCTTGCTACAAAAAGGACATTGAGGTGCTGGAGTATGTCCTGGGAAGGACAACGAAGCTGGGGAAGCGTCTGGAGAACAAGTGTGATGAGGAGCAGCTGAGGGACCTGGGGTTTTCAGCCTGGAGAAAAGGAGGCTGAGAGGAGACCTCCTCACTCTCTACAACCCCCTGAAAGGAGGTTGTAGGGAGGTGGGGTCAGTCTCTTCTCCCAAGCAACAAGTGGTAAGACAAGTGGAAACAAGCTCAAGTTGCACCAAGGGAAGTTTAGGTTGGGGATTAGGAAAAATTTCTTCACAGAACGGGTTATCAGAGATTGAAATGTGTTGCCCAGGGCAGTGGTGGAGTCCCCTTCCCTGGAGATAATTAAGAGACACAGTTCTTAGGGATAGTTAGTTGAGGACTTGTCAGTGGTAGGTTAATGGTTGGACTCGATAATCTTAAAGGTGTTTTCCAATGTGGGCAATTCTGTGATTCTGTGAAATCGCTGTGCCAGGCTAAGGAGGGTGTCTGGGACCACCGGGGTGCCCCAAGCCTTGACTCAGTGACCCATGCGAGTGTAGCAATAGGGGTCCCTCCTCAGCACCCACCTCACAGCTCACAGGGGATCAGGGAAGCCAGACTAACAGAGCAGACCCAGCACTCCCACCCACGGAGGGGAAGGAGGAGAGGGGGGGCAGTTACGGGGCCACACGTCAGCTCTAAGATGCCAAACACAGCCAGTGTGCACCAGAGAGCAGCAACGAGAGGCTGCTTGGGGTGCCCCTAAAAGGGTCTGGCCCTACCACAGGCCCCCCACACCACACCACACTGGTCCAAAAGGGACCTTTGTGTCCCCGTCTGATGCTTGCCCTGCTCACCGATTCCTCCTGCACCGGGGTCCTGGCATCCAGGTCTGTGCTTGCAGCAGTGGCAGCCCTGGGCAGGAGAGGGGGACGGTCACCGACGGGCAGGTCCTGGTGTGGCTGCTCAGCCAACGGGGCTCCCGGAGCAGGGTTTGGCCCTGGGAATGGTTTCTGGGCACTGATGGAAGAACCAACGGGAAGGGCATCGCTGGCCACAGGAGGGAAGGAGGCAGCGGCAGGAGCCGGGGGACC